TCCATACAAAATTTGTGGAATTATATGAAGAATAAGGTTGCAGGCAAACAGCTAGCCAAGGCTCTTGTAGATGTTATCAAAGACGTCTCGACCACTGGGATTTTAGCAGAATATTATCAGCTTCATAGCCAGTATGCTTCGTTGTATTGAAACGATTCTACGGGTGAATAGTGGTCATAAACAATACACAAAAATGAAACAAACTGTATGAAATTCATCTTTTGATCTTCCGAAAACCATGAAATGTGCGAGGGGTAGGTGAATGGTAGATACAATCCGACAAATTGTAGATGTTCTAAGGTTGCCAAATTAGCTATTTTCGGCTGGATATGGCTGATGCTACTACCCCCACCCACCGATTCAAATTAGTTTTCAATTATAGCTAATAAAGTATAAATCAATGGTTCCCAAACGAATTTGGGCCGTGCCCCACTTTGGTATTTCTAAAATTCTGGTGTCACCCTGTAATATTTAATTTTTACATATTCAAAATTTTACTGCAATTCACGTTTAAAAGCTTATTAACTTGGTCTCTAAACAAGCCTCCAAAAGACCATGACGTCCATGAAAGAGAAAAATTTTAAAAAAAGACAGTTAAATATATATAGTTTCAAAACATATAATAAAGAACTGAAAAGCAGAAATATAAAATATTTGAATAAAAACTTATTCTGTAATAAGCTTTGATCATTTTAATCATGGAATAATAAAGCAAAATGAAATTTGAGTTCACTAGAAAATAATTCACTGTTAATAACTCATTCTCGAATTACCCCCTTATTTTGTTGGTATAGTAAGCCGAAGGGTGCACGTCCCACCAAATATTGCCATGCACAACCGGTAGGGATGCGCCCCACGTTGGGAATCATTGCTATAAATGAAACCTGATAATGTGATGTCAATCGTTATCTTATGTCTTCTTAATCAGTGTTCTTTTATTGTTCTCGCTCCTTAATAATGCTTTTTTTTTCCTCATATTCTCTCACACTCAGTAACCTTTTAGTCTTAGTGGCTTTATTGTCTTGCTTGGAGTGAAATGATAAACATATACTAAGTGTCTTGGATTTAACAAAAAAAAAGAAAAAAAAAAAGAAAAAGAACCAATTCATTAAATAGTGCTCTACAGAACTTGCTTTTCTTTACAAAATGAGTAATTTATCAGATTTAAGGAACATGACATCTCATTACCAATTAGTTCTTTAAATTTTTATTTTAATAACATAATCGGTAATTTGAATAATAACACCAGTATATGATGTATTGCCATCGTCACTGATTTCCATTTGTTTACAACCGACTTTGGCATCCACTCCTGAAAGAAGCTCTCAAATAATAAGTGGTATGAGGTGACGCCATAGAGTACTCATCAATACTATCCTTTTTTCATAACATTGTTACACATGATGAAAAATGGAAAATTGATTGTCACAAAAAGAGAGCTCAATGCCAACACAAAAGTCAGGATTTCATCCACAGAAGTCCTCACTTTGTGTTTAGTGCAATATGAAAAGTGTCGTCCATCACAAGTTAGTGAAACATGAAAGAAGCATCAGTGATGGTTTATTGATGGTATATGGATCAGGTAAATAAAGCATTACATCAAAGATATCCTGCTTCAGTAACCAGAAAAGGTGTTATTCTCCAGCTTGACAATGCAAGGACACACTCTGCAAAACGAAACAAAAAAAAAAAAAAAAAAGATCATTAGGATGGGCAAACTTGCATACCCACCAGATTCAACACCTACAGATTTTTATTTCTTGTGATCAGTTGATTATTTCATCAGAACATCTATAAACAAAGAAGTTGAAAACTTTCAAATGTTTTTCGTTAAAAAAACAATGCAGATTTATTTAAATGTTGAAGTGAAAATTTGCCTTCACATCAAGGTGCAGTTTTAGAAAATGTAGGTAGGTACATTTTATATTTAAATAAATTTAACTTTCATGAGGTCTGATCAAAAAGTATCAGGTTGTTGCTATGATAACAAAACTAAGGTACACAGAATGAAGTCGCACATTGATCTTGAACTCTGTCATGCATACACACGAAGTTATAACATTCCATTGTTTATAGAAGTGCATGGAAGGAAAATGTGTAGAGTGTGGTTATCTTCCATCAGTAAATATGTCTTGCAAAACAGTTTTTGGCCAGACACAACAACCCTCAAATCAAACAGCTGCTATATTCCCCAGATCTTGCCCCTTGCAACTTTTTCATTTCAAAAATAAAATCCCACTTGAAAAGAACAAGATATCAAGTTGACGAAATCCAAGACAATGTGATGAGGCAGCTATTTGCTATCCCAAAAAAGGAATTCCAGGAATGCTCCCAACAGTGTAAATGATGCTGGATAAAGTGTGTGTTTCAGAAAGGGACTACTTTGAAGGAGATTAAATGCATAATTGATATGCTTTGTAGTTTGTTTGGGTTTATTTTTCATATAGCACCAGTAATAATCCTTTTTGATCAGACCTCACATATTTACATAAATTACATTTGTTTTTATATCTTTTCAAAAAAAAAAATAAAATAGCTATAGGCTATGAGGTTATTTTATCATGGACGGATTTTAAGATGTGTAAAATGTCCAGCATAATGTGACTTTATATTGCATGTATTGTTTATTGGGACTTAGCTTACCCCAGATCTTATGTTGCACACATATATAACCTCAAGACAATGCAAAAATGGTTGGTTACCTGTACAGACCAAGAAAGTACCCAATTTCTGTGGCCAGGTTTTATCTCTACAAAAAGAAGATCAGACCCAAATTTGGGCTGGAGAAGCTCAAGTTTCACTTTCTAACCTCAATTGAGTTCAAAAGTGTCTACGCAGCCACGTGGGTGATTAATCATTTGGCAGCTGCAAACAGTATGGAGAACTCTTGTTAAAATTTTGTTACTCAAAAAAAAATTCCATCTTTAACACATGATATGGCTATCCCATGAAACCCTGCATCACATAGCATAACCCAGATAACAAACAAGATTATAGACTTCAGTATCTCAGACTCTTGTCTTTTTAGTATTTATATTATAGTATTATCATATAATTATCATTTATAGTATTATCATATCATTTATCATATTACATAATTATCATATAATTAGTATTATCATTTATCATATTATATAATTATCATATTAGTATTATCATATCATTTATCATATATAATTATATAATTAGTATTGTCATATCATTAGGAATTAAAACAATATTAAAGTTATTTTTGCAGTAATCTTGCTATGAAACATGAATTCAGTATAATATTCAAAATTTAACAGAGGGCATTGATAAAAAAGTTTGTGCCCCAAGGGGTCACTAGTTGAAAAAAGGTTGGGAAACTCAGTGTTAGCATATACAACTCCTACTTAGAATGTGATCATAGACTACTTGTAATTAAACTGACAACACCAGCCAAAAAAATAGGTTGCTTCTGCAAAAATAAACTACAAAATACACTGACATATAAATCCAAGCTCTTAAAAATAAAAGAGGTAAATTTAGAATTTGGTAATAAACTAGAGTCCAAATTGATGTCAATAAATCTTGCTAAAACAACACAGAGGAATTAAATAACATTATCATATCTTCATTAGCTCAACCACATGAGACCACTTCAATGATACCTAGCAAAAAAAAAAAAAAAAAAATATCCACAGGATGATAATCCCGAGTTAAAAAAAAATATTGATGCAAGAATGAAACAAACTGAAAAGCGGGGGGAATAGAAGGGAAAACATTAAAGAATTAAAAAAAAAAAAAAATAGTTATAACTCTTTGAGAAACCAGTATCTCCAAAAAATTAAAAATAAAAATGATGAAGCCAAGCAGCATAGACAATGTCTTAAAATGTGGAGAAAAGCAAAATTTAAAAAAAAAAAAATTACAGTATCCTACAATCAAAACCACAACATAAGAAATGTCCTGATCTCAAAAACCCTTTGAATCACATTTCAACCTTGACCACATTAAAGATATCCACAGAAATAGAACATATACCAATATATATCCTATCATTACAAAGCCCATCTCCAAACATAAACAATAATGAATGTACTGTTGAGGAAATTAAGCAAGCTATTAAAAAACTAAGGAATAATAAACCATCACTTGACATTGAATGTCATGCATGGTAACAAACCTATTAAGAAATATCTAAACTATGAGCTGTATACAACTGCTTTCTATGAGCAATGGTTAAAAATGGCTTTGGGCAAGTCAAGCCTATTGATCTTGATGAAAACAATCCTTGTGAACTGGCACTATAGAATCATAAATGAAAAACTGTAACAAATAACAGAAATCATATCAATTGAGGATTTTCAATAGTAGCAACATCTAAATTGAATATCATATCTAACTCAAAGAAAAATAATAATATGATCAAGTTGTTAACATTCTGCACTACTTCAAATAAAAGGTTAGGAAGGAAACTTCAGTCAAAATAGCATACTGAACTTGATAAATCTTTTTTCCTGAAAAGTTGTCTTAAGAGAAAGATTTTAGACATTTCAACCAACAGTAGTACAAGCTGCCCATTCAATGAATGCTAATTGTTTCCTTGTAAGGAAACAACTCTTATTACCATTACCATATGTATGCTTCTAAAAGATTAAATATGTGTGTGTGTATTAAAACAAAACATGACTAATTTCTTTGATTTGCTCATGAACATTTTTTTTTATTATTTTAATTTTTTTTTTTTCAATTTTTTTTTTTTTCAATTTTTTTTTTTTTTTTTTAAATAGAATAAAATTTTCAGAGACAGGAAGAACAGGTTCCCATAATTCCCCCCCCCCCTGGAAAAAGTACATTTTCTTTTTCTTTCCATTCATTGTATTATTTATTTGTTTGTTTTTTTTTTTTGCCATGCGTATGATGAATCCAAAACAAAACCAGGTTTTTTCCCTATTTTTCCTCTCAGACATGTTTTAATTTTTTATTTTAAAAAAAAAAAAAAAGCAATAAAATAACCATTCCAGCCTTTCTCAGCATCATCTTTGCTTCTTCAAACATTTCATAGCCATTGCTCTGTTGAATGAGCGCTGTGTTTTGCCAATTTCCTTATGACCAGAATGCACAACTCCAAACAAAACACCAAATATCAAAAGCAGAATTATGACAAAAGTGCAATTTGTGATGGTGTTGCTGGGATGAGTTTCAACTTCCTGAAGAAGTGTCTTTGCTGGTTCAAAACCAGGTTTTAGCTCCAAGGTCAGCTGGGAATGATAGATAGCTTTTTGGTAATGTCCATAGGCTTTATGTATTTCTCCCAGGGTGAAGTGATGTAACCAGGCATTCTGGTGATTTGGAAGTTTACTGAGTGAAGTCTGTGTTAAGTAAAGTGCATCGTCTAAGTAATGGAGTTGAAGGAGCAATCGAGCTAAATTTAGGAGTGCATCAACATTTCCTGGTGAGTGAGATAAAACTTTACGAAAACATTCGATGGCATACAATGTGTTGCCTTTAATTCTCCAGAAATTTCCAATAGAGTTTAAAATGTGGATCGACTGTGGTTTCTGAAATTTAACAAAAATAAACAAGATTAATAACTACACAAAATGAAACAAGCAAATATGATTTTACTATTTACACTATTTAAATTCTTTGAACTGTTGTTGTCATCTTTATTGTCACATGAACAAAGTTTTGACCATTGTATTCTCTGGCCTTCTTAAGGTGATATTTGTTTAAATTTTGAATCAAACACAGAATAGTCAGTCTATATGGTGCCGTTTCTGAAGACTAGTTAGGATGTTGTCCTGTCTAAAACCAACAAAAGAATTAGCTGGACTTGAGTTGGAATAAAAGCTACAGAAGACAGTCCCATTCAGAGAAAATCAATTTTTTTTACAGAAATCTCACCGAAACAATTTTCAGAAACAGCAACATACAGATTGACTATTCTGAACAATGTAAATAGTATAGTTACAATACATCATTTCAAAAATATACAAATGATTTTTACAACTTTAAAGTATGTAATATAATTCAATGTCTTTAATATCAACAATTTTTATTGATATAAATACAAACAGTAAATCTATACATGCAGATAATAATCACCAACATTGAGATTTGTGAAAGAAAAAAAAAATGACCAGGATATTTCTGAAAGATAACATTAAGACAAACAGTTTTTGCAATTATGTTGGCAAAGTTTAAACCTTTGTGCCCACAAAAAAACAAACAGGGTTTGAAAAGGATGGTGTTTCCCTTGATATTGCTTTTACAGTGTACTACCTAAACTCATTCGGCAATGTTCATTTACAAGATTATAAAAATATGTGAACCAACTACAATGCAATCTTTATTACAATAAAGGTCTGTGAACGTTACTTGTGTGTTTGCCAGAAGTCATATATAGAGAGTGGGTGAAAGAAAGATATGAAGTTATCATCATGTAGGAAGGAGGAGAGAGAAGGAAAAAAACTCTCTTTTTCCACCCACCTCTCTCTCCACCTTCCTGTGATTGCGTGCGTGCTTATTTATATTTCAGCTTTCTTTAAACAAATAATATTTTAAATATTTTTATTTCAACTTTCTCCAAACAATTTCTTTAATGTTGAATGCAACTTCAATGTTTTATAATATGATTTAAAAATTCAATTTGTTTATACAAGTAAGTATTTTTATTTCAACTTTCTTCAAACAGACAATTTTTTTAATGTTGAAAGAAACTTCAATAACTGCAAATAAATGTACTTTTAAAATATCTCTACTTTCAGAAAATTTCATGAAACTAAATGTAAACAGGAACACAATAAGGTTAGCCCAAAGGGTCACAAATGGTCTGGTATTTATTATTCATCATTTTATAAAGAAATAAATGAACAGAAATCTTTTAGGACAGTCTACCCCAGTGAGCGAAATAAAGGGTTCGGTTCGACATTCCAAACACCTGAAGGTGGCATACAATGGCCGAAACGTGATAAACATGGTGACAAAGATGAGGACAATAGTCCGAATAATGTAAATAATGTACATAATACCTCCTCTCAGAAATATAAACAGATACAGAAATCTTTTTATTAACAAATTTATGAAAAACTACAAATTTTTCAAAATATATGAACCAACTACAATCCAATATTTATTATTTACTCTTTTATAAATGAATAATTACCAAAACAAGTTATTTATTAATAATTTCAAAAAATATCTGAACTATAGAACAAGAAAACTTAAATAAACATGATTTTTCCAGGCATTATACTCAAATTATTTTGATCTAGAATTAAGGATGCCTAAAGTACAAAAGAAGAAATCGAATCTTTATACCCCAAGCTAGATAAGGCCAAGCTCAGTGCAAATCACAAGAAGTTAGAATTATCATGGAAGACCTGAATGCCAAAGTAGGCAAGGAGAGGGCAGGGGAGAAATCTGGCAAATTCGAACTAGGAACCCACAACGAACGCAGAAAAAAATGGGTCCAATGGTTCATGGCCAATGACGAGGTTCCAAGAAGATCCAAGACAACTGTAGACATGGAGAAGGCCAGGAAGAGAAACTAAAAACCAAACTGACTACATAACCATCAACAAAAGATTCAGGAATGCAACTGTTCACTGCAAAACCTATCCAAGTGCCAACTGTGGAAGTGACCATATATATATATATATATATAATTGCAAATGTCAATGTGTCACACTTTTTCAACTTTACTCCTAGAGCCAACATATCATACCATTTTGGAATCGGGCTGACTGAGAGCAAATTAAAAACATTCCAGGCCACAATCCTGAAATTTTGAATTTCCAAGTTTTCATTACTGTAATTGTTTTTGGATCATGCCACCTTGGCTTCTACTGATAAAAACAATTAAAGGGACATAACTCTCTAACTTTCAATTGCTCATGGTCAAATGAAAAAAATTACTGTTCTTAAATTAGTGTTTCAAAATAAAAATATCTGTATTTTCAACTTTATTCCTAGAGGTTGTAGCCCATACCATTTTGGAATCAGGCTGACTCCATGAGCAAATTAAAAATATTCTGGGCTGGATCTGGATCCATAGTCCTGATATTTTGGATTCCCAATTTTTTACATGATTTTTTGCAAGAAATTTTTTATTGTACATTAATTTTTATAACTAGAAATAAATTTGGGAATTATCAAAATTAATTGTCATATCCAGTGAAAATCACCTATGAAATAAAAATAATTGTTTGTATGGAAAGTAAGGACCAACAGTCATCAAATTGTCTTTAAATTAAGTGGTGGCAGAAGAATTATTGTTGAATTTTTAAAAAGTAAGCTTAGGTATTAATGCAATACTTAAATGCAGTGATCAATTTTGAGTTCTTCTAGAGTTTATTGCTGCTTATCACATCTACTCCTCTCTATATATTGTGATGAAAACCCAATTAAGAGAATTAGCTTAAGTGCTGCCCCAATAGGAAAGCTTTTAAGCTGGGACATATATAATTGAAATAAATATATTCATGTGCTTAAAAGTTCCCATCCCAATCAAGACTGATGATTTTCAAGATGACTTTCCCAAAGTAGTTCAAAGTGGGTCAACCAGTGAAATTTTTATCAACTCCTACATTATATATATATATATATATATATATATATATAGAGAGAGAGAGAGAGAGAGAGGGGGGAGAGACACACACACACACAGGGTGCAATGGATAAATTGACATCAAAATTACGCAAAAATGAAAAAACTAGCATCTCGTTTTAACAGATATATTTACCAAAATTATACAAAATATCTTGAAATATTAAAGAGTAAATTTATTCAATAAAATCACCATTGGCTTCAATCAATGCCTCCAGATGACTTCAGAATCTCTTGCAAATATTCTGGATGGACTCCTTGTTTAAGTTGGTGAATCATTGCCTTCCGTTCATCTTTGGTATTACAAGGAGTTTTGTTGGTCTCTCACTCAAATGTGTCCCAATAAACAAATGGCCAGATTAAGGGGTGATGTGGTTGCAGAAATCGTCTGACAGCCATGCCTGGGTTCTCCCGTTTGTGTGGCAGATGCAGAGTCTTTTTGCCAGACATAGAGTCTTCCAGCAGCCACCCCCTTGATCCAGTGTAGTACTACCGCATCAAGACTCTTGATATAGGCCTCTGTATTGAGTCTGAGGCTCTCACCAATGATTTCAGGAGTTCGTTTCTTATCTGAACGATAAGAATGGGTTTTCCAAGTTGCTGTACTTTCCCAGTCACCATTAAACTCATCCAACACTTTCTGAATCATCTGCACTGTCCTCAGATTGGCACCCAAATACTTTGAAATGTTCATACTGGAGATTTTGGCACAAATGCCAAGCAGTACAGTATGCCGTTTTCAAAATTCTGGTGGCGTGAATTGTGTCATGGTGCTCTTTTTCTCACAAACGGTGCCCAACTGACTTTACTATACTGTGAAGTTGACAAAATTGAAAACAAACAACACAATGCACATGCATGAAGTTAAAAATGTAAAATGGTGACAAATTACCCATCACACCCTGTAAATATATATAAATATACATGATTAATGTAAGTAAAAGTTTGGCAGTTAATGTTACATTCAGCATCCATACTCCAGAGTTTTGTAGGCAAACCTGTCTGTCCACTCTTCAGGGGGTATCAGCAATTTACAGCTTATATTTTTAAAATTTTTTAACCATACACAGTATATAACATGATGTTGGTAAAATTTTCAAAATATAATTACATTAGCAAGATATCATGCAAGTTTCAGTTAACGATATTAACTTGTTTTTAGAGGACTCAGCTCTTATGATGCATAATGCAACATAAATTTTTATTTATTTATTAATAAACTCATGGTATAAGCCATCGTAATAGATTTTATTAATGATACCCCACTTTTTTTGTTGTTCCAAAAAAGAATGTGCAATGTTATTGGTTCTGAGCCTAACATAGTACAGATTTTCCCCACTACTCTTTGTGAATTATTTATCAAATTACAGATAAAGCAACAGGTTTCAAGAAAAGGTAGAAGCTAGGCTTTAGGTTAAGTATTTTTTTTCTGAATCAGATTCCTTGAAGTTGAGCAAAAATTCAAAACTACTATATAAGATCTATTTTTAGAACAGAAAACATGTAAAACCACATGTTTTCAACAACAGACAATACATTTAACCCAGTTATAAAAATCACACCCGATTCTCACACTATACATGATGTCACCATAAGAAACAATAGTCAGACTCAAGTTTAAAGCACTCTACATCATTTATAAATATTACTCCCCCTTTTACTGTATATGGAATCCCCTCAAAATATAGTGCTTTTTTATATTAGATCTGTATATTTGAAATCTGGATCTCAATTTCAGTCAAGACTGTTTTAGGTGTTATCATAGAAGGATATGACTACACAACCAAGAAATTCAAATTCAACTTGGATTGACAAAAATAGTCACCTACAAAGTGCTAGAGGTTAAAAGTATTCAAACAGATGAGGATTGGACACATGCACAATCACCAGATATTGATAATAACCAGAAGTATGGATGAAAGTGCTTGATCACAAATATTTGAACAGCAT